TGAAAAATATTTTGTCTCATGCATCAGAGAATTGTGAGAATGACTAATTTTACAATATCGGTATCAAGGTTGTTATATTCGAGTAATTCCTTAAATATTCCGAAGGTTGTTGGTATATATGGGTACACTTGGAAAAAGTGACGGATAATCGGAAGATATAAGAATTTCACCTTCGGTCAAATCTAAACCTTTGACCTTTTCGATGAATTCGAAGAATTTGAAACGGAATGATTTTCATGGGGATTATATAATTTTTTGTAATTTTCAACCACCCACTTCGAAATATTATACGTAGAAGACCCGGTTCATGATCCAGCCGGGTGAGAAATCATTATCGTTTCGTCTAACTCCATAATTTTTTGGCGCAAGTTTTAAAGTAGGTATAGAGTTCGACCAAGTGAACTTTGGGACAGCAGGTGGTCTATCTCACCATCTCACAAATCGACCACTTTTGTATAATAGGCGTCTCGTAAAATCTGAAAGTTATATATGGGATTGAACCAAAATGGTTTTATACTTCATTTTTACTTTTTTTGAGCTATAGAATAGAATAGAATATTTATTGCAGCATAAAAGGTTAGACAAATTACAATGCATAACACTTATCAGCCTAGTCTAAATACATGCATTGGTACATACATAAGCACAATAAAATATAATCACAAATTATTCATCACTACTATACATTCACAAACAGATTAAAAGAAATGTCATGAAGAAATACTGAGGAACTGTTCTACTGTATAGAAAGCATTTTCGAGCAAGACATTTTTGAGTTCTCTTTCGAATAGCTTATCCCTGTTTTCATAATTCCTGAGTATTTGTTTGAATTTATTGTACAATTTAACCTCTATGTAATTAGGTGAATTTTGGCAGACCTGTAAACGTGAGTAAGCTTGATGTAGATTATACTTCATTCTTGTATCATGCAAGTGAACATCGTCATTGTTCTCAAACCTCTGTATATTATCTCGAATATAGAGGATCAAGCGATAAATATATAAACTAGGTAATGTGTAACTCGTGCTCTGGTGAACATATCACTACAACTAGTTGATGGGTGGACATTGAACATAGCTCTCAAGATTTTTTTCTGTACAATGAATGCCTTTTCAAAGTGTGATGAGGATCCTCAGAATATCAGACCATATTGTAAATCAGACTGTACCAGACCGAAATACAACAGTCTCAATACGTCAAAAGATACTGTTTCTCTGAAATTTCTTATTATGTAACAGCATGTACTCAACTTTGAACAAATTGATTTTATATGAGGCTCCCATGTCAGTTTCGGGTCAAGTGTTACACCCAAAAACTTTATAGCGTCTGTGTTTTGAATTGGTTCACCTTGAATGTAAGTGGAGATTATAATCTGGAGATACATTTTTTGGGATAAATCGCATAAATAGTTATTTAACCAACTAGTGTATTAATCGCCTTTTAATATACAAGTTTGTTACAAAAATTTTCCGTCGACTATATTTCTCATTTCTCCTGCAATGAAGAAAACTTGGCTCGCGAATTCATCATCCATCCGGAAACTGCTAAGAATCACCCAGTAGCCTTGTTACTGACATCAGTGTCATATGACATTTGTCGAAATGATCAACATAGGAAATAAATTCCTTGTGTTAGAAAACAGGGATTAAAATCGTGTCAGAAACTTGGAAAGGCGAACCCGTTAACGGAAAATCGTCGATGAAATCCATATTTTCGATTTAAATGCAGATTCCGCTAGTTATAGCATAAACAATGAATGCGCGCGGTGTATGTTTGGTTGCCTATAAAACAATCGTGCATTAATAGACAAATCGTCCATTAATAGGGGTCATTAATGAACGATTGCATATACATTGAACTTAGTCGTTAATACGAGGTCGACGGAAAATATGTTTTTGAAACGTTTAGTTGGAGGCCATTCTGAGAGCAATACTTATAAAACTCATCAGAAGCTGCGTTACTATTTGTTACTAGTTGACCTATATCCTTATGGGACATTAGGATATTGGTATCGTCAGCATATACATAATACAATTTGATCAGGAATGTCACAACACTTTTTAATATCAGATGTAAATATAATGAAAAATAAGGGACCCAGGATCGATCCCTGGGGTACTCCTAGGCTGGATTCTTTTGATTGTGATTTAATGTTATTAAACATTGATACTTGCGTTCGATTGGATAAATAAGATTTTGCCCAGTCAAGGGGTACCCCACGGACACCTACGGCCTCTAATTTATGTAACAGTAGACTTCTGTCAATTGTATCAAATGCGCGACTCAGATCATAGCTGTCATTATATTCCAATAATTTTCAATTTGACCAAAAGCTAGAAAAATAGAAACATGTTTTTTTGAAAATAATTCAAAAACACACCCATGAATTTCGTTTCGTACTTATCATACTGTTTTCACAATGTATAATGATACATATTTTGATATGGTTCATGAACTCATTCGATAGATATAAATGAGTTAAAAGCAAACTTGAAAGGCGAACATTTAATGTTTAGTTTTCTTTGGATACATTCATTGGTGGGATATCAGTTTGACGAAACCACGAATCCATTTATTTTGGTGGCTTCCGAAATGGCAGCAACAGCATAACCTCAAAAAAGTAAGATTAAAATATTGGATTTGAAAGCTGTTTGCCATTTGCCTGAGAAAAAATTTGGACGAATTAATCGAAATCAGTCTAGAATATCAAATTCAAAGAAGTGCTGTCTTATTGACACCAAGAGAAATAGAAGAAATTTCGAGTGGTATAGGTACCTACTTTTTTTCCATCATGAATTTTGAGAATTTAGTGCAAACATTCAGGAAACTTGAGTACCAACACAAAATTCGTATTAATGACTATCCATATCGTCATAATTTTATGCAATGCTCTTTATACATATAGGTTGCTAAGAATTTTCATCCTATCTCGTCTACTCCTCAACATACAGAATATTTCATCCTCGAAACTATCAGAAGAACTGTTAGAACTTCTGGATTTGGAAACAAGGACTCCAATAACACTTTTAATACATCATTCCATTTCACATAAGTTTTCGCCAATTCTATGCTTCTAATTGGAAACAATCTAAATCCCAATTAAATCAGGAATAGAAAAATAAATAAAGGAAAAAACAGTTGTGATTGTCATGTCAAATAACGGCATTTTTTTTAACATTGATGACTCCAACAATTCGATGCATCAGAGAGTGACGTCACTTCCATCAATGATAAAATGTGGTGTAAAAAAGAACATCCCTATGGTGGACGAATTTTGGTTGCTTCCGAATAGTTTAACTTTAAAAAAGTACTAAGAAAAAATATGGATGAATAAATTGAAATTAAAATTGAAAATTGAAAGAATATCTGAATTATTGACACCAAGAGAAATTGAAGAAATTTCGAGTGGTAGGTACTTTTTTCTTTCCCATTATGAATTCAAAGAATTCAGAGCCAACATTCAGGAAACTTGAGTACCAACAGATAATTATTATTAATGGCTTTCTGAGAATTTCAACCTATTATCTCGTCTACTCATCAACATAAATAATATTTTATCCTCGGAACTAACTGAATACAATCTGAATAACCATCAAATCACGGAAAGATAAATAAAAATGTTGGAAACACAGTTGTGATTGTTATGTCAAATATCTCAAATTTGGTGACATCAAAACATATTTAGAATTTCCTCACATATGAAAACTCTTGAATAAAACAGATAGGTATATCTGCGTCGTAAGATATGAAGGTTGATGAGTTCTGTGGTATCTGCTTATCTTTATCGGAATTTATCGATAATCAATATTTCAAATTCTTTATCACCAACCCCTAATATAACTATACTATTCAAATTCTAATATATTTTCTTGTTGTTTCAGATTAGTTCATGGCCGCGACACCTGGTACCACAGGCCCCCATGCTAGCCTCTTGTACTCCCCCCATAATTGTCAACGACCCCCAAGTCCCTGGCAGACCGACCCCCAATACCGAATATCCTTGTCCCTATCCCCCCTACTATCCACCCCAGGATTATTAGTACTTAGCGAACTTCAACGATGATGTAATAACATTATACGTTATAGTTCTTGCAATTTTTCTACCTCTGCCATATTTATATTTACAAATTTTATAATTTTTTATGGATATACGATATAGGATTTAATCCTATATGCTATAGTTGTAAGGATAAAAGTGACCTTATTTTTATTAACTGACCTTGTGAAGGATTAAGTGACCTTATATGTTCGTATTTAGTATTGTCAATGTGCCTATATCTTCATCCTAAATCCCTATTCCTAAAATGGTGGGTAGGTCATCGCTTAGAAGTAGCAGAACACGGATTGTAGGTAAGAATAACTTGATTTAGAATAAGTGAGAACATCAGATAATTAGTATATTTCCCACTTGAAAAGTCGTTGAGTGAATATCTTTAGTCGATGCGTTTGGTTTGCATAATGAATGAAAAATTTGTGAAATATGTTTGTACCTGTTTTCTAATACCTCTGATATTAAAATCAATTTGCCAACACTGTCGAAAAAAGGAACGGTATTTCCTCAAAATAAATCGATAATTTTAACATCGATAATACGCATTGTGCTAGTCCTGTCCTGCACAATGTTCAAAGTAAATCCCTACCTTACCGACACCGACCCAACAGCCAAAACAGTGATGTTTGATGAAGTTTGATGTTTGTGTTGCATGGATTTGTCACTGTCAGCTTTGACAGCGACATTCGAGTTGACTAGTTGACATTTTCTGTGTTGTAAAATTTGATGAATCTGGTAAAATAAAAAGTAGATCATAAATCGATCGTTATTTGGTATTTGGTGCAATTTCTATCGAAACACGCTTGATAATCCTCAGTATTTTCAATATTAATAATGTACGAATCATCATGAAAGCCGGCCAAGTTCGCTACAAAAATGAAAACTTATCCATCAGGATCTGAAGATCCTCATCCTGAAAAATGAACTAGATACCATTACTGCAAGGAAAATGGATTATGAATTGGAAGTTTTCGAAGTGTACGACGATAGCGAACAGCAAAGCTCTAAGAGGCATTCAAAACATACAAGAAAAAAGTGCAAACAGAAACAAAAAGCCACAGTTTTGAGTATTGAAGCCACTGACAATGATATAAGTCGATCTAAAACTAGTGTAGTAGGCAGTGACCGAAGGCATTTGAGTCTCCGAGAGTCCATTCTTAGTTTCTTCACCAAATTGGTAGTATGGAAAGATCAAAGAAGGTATCAGACTACTATTCCTGACAAAATTGATGCACCCCATTCATCTAAAGACTTTCGTAAAACATATACTGTGTGTGGTGAGTATGTGACCAAAAGCTGAATGTTGGTTTGTTTTTATTAGGTTAGTTTATCTTTGTTAGTCTTCCTTGATTGACAAATTGTGAGTTGCACTGAAAGTTGTCACAAACATCAAACATACATAGACTGAGCTGAAAACACTAGAACTAACATGAATAGAGGTATTCAATTGATAAAATGCAATAATATTGATATGCAAATGCTAATTAAGTATTATTTATTTATTTCCTCCTGGTTTTTCTCAATAATAAGGACTGTTTGAGTAAGTTAGGCTTGTGTATTTCACAACTGAAAGTGTCTTCATATTAGTTTCATGGTCAACACACTATATAATACTTTTGTATATCCAGCTGGATTTATTTTATCAGACAGCATAGTTTCTACTCAACTCAGCTATTCTATGTCTGTGTTATTTCAAGAATGTTTTGATTATATGGCACATACTTGCAGTCAAGTAAAGTGATGTTCAATATATGTTTTCAGTGCTGATCTCATGAATAAGTAATGATTAACAATACTGGGGAATTATATTTCAATGAAAACATAATAAGTATTAATTTCACTGGTCTTATGTTAATCAACAAGAAGATGTTTCATTATCATGTATAGGGTGTTGTTTGAGCCTCACCTCACCTTTTTTCTTCAATTTAGACCTAATGTACTCTTCCCTAAATGTTTCTGTAAATTGGTAACTAATTCTTATTGCATAATTATATTAAGATATCCTGAATTCTCCTGATGAAAAAGTAAGTTTTGTTTTCAAATTCAGGGTCTATTGCTAGCTTTGTATACTCTCTTAATAATTGTTATTTAAATACAGTCAAGTGCTAGCCAATGAATGAATATAAGACACAATTGTTTCTCAATAAAATATATCAAGTTTCTTTATTAATAAATCTTATTTAATAACTATGCCCTTGAACCATGTTTAATAGTGAGGTCATTATGTTGCAGCTTAAATTGAGCTGAAAATTGTCATGATAAAAATAATAAACATTGAATCATAAAGATAAACATTAATTCTGATAAGTATGACAGTTTTGCATGATCTCTATTCAAAGCTGATTGATAATGATTCTTCTCAAAAGTTTAAATCCCCCAATATGAAGCATAATTTTGAAATTCTATCAGGAACTGTATATTCACAATAGGTCCTTGAATACTATTGCTTCCAATTCTTTTGTCTGTGACCTTAATTTCCTTAAAATAATCACTGGTAATTGAACATGTATGTTATTTTCATTTCAGATAATCAAAGAAGGATTCATGCAAATGATAGACTTTACAACTCCCAATTTCGTTATGCTGTAAGTTTCTATTTTTAAATGTTTCTGTGTTCTGATTTCATTTCTGTTTATGCCTCATGATTGATCATATTATTATCCATCATGTTTTCATCAATTATTATATAATTTGTGTACTGAGCACCAGCAACATACTGGATGTTTCAAAATGGCATTTGAGGCACTATTATGATGTTGAGATGTCACAGCCACAAGACCTCATATTTTTATACTTCTAAATTCATTGAGCAAATTTTCAACTTTAAAATTATCATTCCTCTCTTTAGTTTATTAGAATTCATTGAACAGGTATTTTTACTTTTTTCTACAATCAAATTTGAGCTCAAGACAAAATTCATGAAGATCTAGTTGCGGCTCCGCCACCATTTTCATGACATACTACTTAAAAAAGCCATGTGTACACAGCTAAATATGGCAGCTGTTCAGTGTTGCCAGAAGAAAAAAGCTAATTGTACTGAAATCACTATTGAATTGTACTAAAACCATGTGGAATGCACCAAACATGAAATATTGAAAAAAAAATCAATGAGAAAATTGATGAATGAGAATTTTCATTTCTCATTGTCAGAAATGACTACATCATATATAAAAGAAAGTAAAAAAAAGAAAATGTCATGAAAAATGTCCTAACACAGGTCAATAGCCAAAAAGATACAAAACATATACAGTGTCATCCATGAAGAATAACTTGCTTCATTGAATATAAAGAAAAATCTGAAAATAAAATATCCCATCGGTAAAATCCCCAAATAATACCTGAAAAGATACAAAATATATGCAGCACCATCTATAATATGAGATGACTGTGCATCAAATATTTGAAAAAACATCAGAAAACAATACTGTACTGATAGTGATTGTTGGAGTTGATGATGTATATCATTATGGTAAGCCAGCTCATTCATACTTCTGTTTTAATTCGTAGCTTTGTGTAATAAATGTTCGATTGTACTAAACTTGAGCTGAATGTACTGACCAAAACATGAAATTGTACCAGAATTGGGTGAAATGTACTAATGTACTAAAGGGTATGAATTGTACTGAGTCTATGCAAATGTTCCAGCTCTGGCAACACTGCAGCTGTTTGAAGATCTACGCCAGTACAGTGTTGCAAGATTTATCGGTAAAACGAATGATTCCGGAAATTTCGCTCTAACATCACTTAGCAATAATTGTACCTGAGATGACATTTAACAAAATAGTATGGGTGGAAGTTTGATTACTATTTAAAATTATATACTGAATACCTGGTGAAATGGGAATTATAGACGAAACATAAATATTAGAATAGCCTAATAATTGACAATTGGTGTATACAAGATAACAATGATGCTGACAGCTTGTGTTTGAAATAATTTGAATTTCTGATGAAAATTTGTAGAGATATTTGAATTCCTCCTAGAAATTGATAACTTTCAAGTCTGGCAACAGTGGTTGTAAACCTGATTTTAACTATTCTGAGATGTATTTTGTTTACATTTTTTTCAAAGTTTGACAGATTTCTTCTTTCTGCTCCATTAATAATTCCAAATTGCTGTATTTCGAGAATTGAAATAATTTGAAAAATGTTAATAGCCATTTTAGACGTCAGGAACCTAATACTAGTATACCTCGGGTATGTTCCGAATATCAACATGGTTATTTCACTCAGTAGTTTTCCATAAATATGAAATGATCGGTTGGTTCCTGAAAAATGGTTATTTACGGAACTTGGTTGCTGAAAAAGCGGTAGATTCCCTGTCACCAAGACGACCATTGATTTTCTCTGATAAGCTCGGCAAGTTTCCGGTTTGATTTTCCGATTCACAAATCACAAAGAAAAACAATATTTCCATTTTAATTATTGCCTTAAGTTCCGAAAGATTCGTTCACTGGGGTAAATCAATAATATTCGATATATTAAAGAAATCAATATATCGCCTTCCATAGGAACATGGTGGTCTGAATTTAGAGAAGTATACTCTGGTCATTTTTCTTTGTGGATCGTTTCTTAGGTTCGGCTTGACTGGATGGTTTTCTCGGATTTCGTGTCAAGTATCAAACACTGTGCTTCTCGGATCTGCAACTTGATATCACATATCAAATATCGAATCATATGAATCAAAATTGGTTATTATTGGATGTGGTTCATGGATGTTGAATTAGAAACTTACCTGAATATTTTTTGTAACGTTCGTAGTTGGATTGCAACAAATAAGTTTTGTTTCCGAATAGAAGTTTCCTCAGTAGACTTCATCCACATCACCACATTACGTGGGTTATAATCAAGACCTGGAATGTCAAACACTGTGCTGCTCGGATCTAAAACTAAGTATCAATTTGAAATTTGAATCGTGAGACGAACATGAATGAAGAGTCTGCATATTTTTTTCAAAATTCATAACTGGAATGCGATATATTTTCGTAATTTATTAATTAATCAACTATCTCAATGAATACGAGGCAGGCAGATAAGCAACAATTTTCTCTGCGATGGAAAACACTGTATATACCTAACCCATCTAGCGTCTACCTCCTTTGCAGAGAGGGTTTATGAACGCAAAGTTGGTACTCTCCCCTCGTAAGGGTACCTGTCGTGTTTCCATAGAGACATAAAGGTGAATATCTGTCTATCTGTTTGCTTGAGAATCTGGAAAAGAAATCAATATATCGCCTTCCGTACGAACATGGTGATCTAAATTTAGAGAAGTATACTCTGGTAATTTTTCTTTGTGGATCGTTTCTTAGGTTCGGCTTGATTGGATGGTTTTCTGGGATTTTGTGTCAAGTGTCAAACACTGTGCTTCTCGGATCTGCAACTCAACATCACATATCAAATCATATGAATCATAAATGATTATTATTGGATGCGGTTCATGGATGTTGAATTAGAAACTTACCTGAATATTATTTGAAATGTTCCTGGTTGGATTGCAACATCTAAGTTTTGTTTCCATATAGAAGTTTTATCAGTAGACTTCATCCACATCTCCACATTACGTGGCTTATAATCAAGACCTGGAATGCCAAACACTGTGCTGCTCAGATCTAAAACTAAGTATCTATTAGAAAGTTGAATCGAGAGACGAACATGGAATGAAGAGTGGATATTGTTTTCAACATTCGTAACTGGAATGCGATATATTTTGTAATAAATTAATTAATTAATCAATTATCTCAATGAATACGAGGCAGGCAGATAAGCAACAATTTTCTCTGCGATGGAAAACACTGTATATACCTAACCCATCTAGCGTCTACCTCCTTTGCAGAGAGGGTTTATGAACGCAAAGTTGGTACTCTCCCCTCGTAAGGGTACCTGTCGTGTTTCCATAGAGACATAAAGGTGAATATCTGTCTATCTGTTTTCTTGAGAATCTGGAAAAGAAATCAATATATCGCCTTCCATACGAACATGGTGATCTTAATTTAGAGAAGTATACTCTGGTAATTTTTCTTTGTGGATCGTTTCTTAGGTTCGGCTTGATTGGATGGTTTTCTGGGATTTTGTGTCAAGTGTCAAACACTGTGCTTCTCGGATCTGCAACTCAACATCACATATCAAATATCAAATCATATGAATCATAAATGATTTATTGGATGCGGTTCATGGATGTTGAATTAGAAACTTACCTGAATATTTTTTGCAATGTTCCTAGTTGGATTGCAACATCTAAGTTTTGTTTCCATATAGAAGTTTCATCAGTAGACTTCATCCACATCTCCACATTACGTGGGTTATAATCAAGACCTGGAATGCCAAACACTGTGCTGCTCAGATCTAAAACTAAGTATCTATTAGAAATTTGAATCGAGAGACGAACATGGAATGAAGAGTGGATATTGTTTTCAACATTCGTAACTGGAATGCGATATATTTTTGTAATAAATTAAATAATTAATCAACTATCTCAATGAATACGAGGCAGGCAGATAAGCAACAATTTTCTCTGCGATGAAAAACACTGTATATACCTAACCCATCTAGCGTCTACCTCCTTTGCAGAGAGGGTTTATGAACGCAAAGTTGGTACTCTCCCCTCGTAAGGGTACCTGTCGTGTTTCCATAGAGACATAAAGGTGAATATCTGTCTATCTGTTTGCTTGAGAATCTGGAAAAGAAATCAATATATCGCCTTCCGTACGAACATGGTGATCTGAATTTTAAGGAATTATACTCTGGTCATTTTTCTTTGTGGGTCTTTCCTCCGGTTCGGCTTGACTGGATGGCTTTCTCGGATTTTGTTTCAAGTATCAAACACTGTGCTTCTCAGATCTGCAACTGCACATCACATATCAAAAATCGAATCACATGAATCAAAAATGATTATTATTAGATATTAGATGCTGTACATGGATGTTGAGTTAGAAACTGACCTGAATATTTTTGCAACGTTCGTAGTTGGATTGCAACATAAGTTTTGATTCCGAATAGAAGTTGCCTAAGTAGGCTTCATCCACATTTCCACTTAACGTGATTTATAATAAAGACCTGGAATGCCAAACACTGTGCTGCTCGGACCTAAAACTAAGTATTAATTTGAAATTTCTATCGTGAGATGAACATGGAATGAAGTATCTGGATATTGTTTTCAACATACGTAACTGTAATGCGATATATTTTTGTAATTTATTAATCAATCAACTATATCAATATCCTCAATGAAGACGAGACAGGCGGATAAGCAACAATTTTCTTTTTGATGAAAAAAAAATACAGGGTGGTTTAAGATTCAGAATTCTGATCACCCTGTATCTGTTCCAATTAAATGTCAGTAAATAGTGAATCCAAAATTAAGACAGGAACATGGCAACCGTTATGACACAAAAGAATCGTAAAATTGAGGAATCTCGATTTTGAACACTCTATATCTCTGTAATCATCACCACTAGACCCCAAGAGTGATGCATTGATGAAATAAGATCTTCATGGAGAATATAAAAATGCAATACAGGGTGTTCCATTTGCAAATTCGAAGTTGCTGCTACTTTCTAGTAGAAGCGGCAACGCCGCATCTTTAAAAATATATTAGACGTGTGGATCATGTAAATACATACATATTATACAATTTTTAGAATCGTCTAATTAACGCTCAACGTGAAAACACCGAAACTGGACGATGAAAAAAAATCCTAAAATGTGATAAGGTGCCTTCTAGTGAGCGTATTATATTTTTCAAATTTCAGAAATATAGCTACAAAAAGAAAGGAGAAAGGTTATACCATGACTTTGTGTCAGTATATCACTCATAATAGAATAATGAATATAACACTCACCAGTGTGTAACGAAATGAATTTGTATAAAATAGTCCACTTCTGCTATTTCATTGTTTGAAATTTTTCATTTCCCACAGCAGGAAACACCAAAACAACACAGGATCGCGATTATGTGATCACTGATTTGAATGAGAAACACAAGAACACGATACTATCACTCATTTTTAAGTGAACACTCTGTTTGGAATGATTATTAATTATTCCTTTCGCGTATTTTTCAATACCTGTCGACCGTACGTGATGACATCTCATATGAGACTGTCTTGATTAACCACTGATCTCGAATGAATGACTAATAAGTTGAATCATGCTGCTAACCGATTAATTTCCGAACAAATGATTCATCTATTACCGAGTCTATGAGTGATGAAGATAATGAAATTATAGGGCGGAAAATATATAAAGGTTGCTTGGTTCACCGACGTATATCTGGGTGGTATGTGATGTGATTCTGAAAATATTTAAACATGTTTTCTGTTCTACAAAGTGTTACATTTTTAAAGAAATCATCGCTTCCCTTTCAGATATACGTCGGTGAACCAAAAATTCTGTATAGTATACGAAATACCAGATGAAGAATTGAACACGGAGAGTGGTGGATTTTTTTAAAGAAAATCTCCCAAGATATTATGAAAGAATTCACCACAGACTGAAAATATATCTTTTACAAAAATCTCTCGTGATTTTCAACCTATTTTGACTCCTAATATCATTTTCCGGAAATCGGGGTGGTTCCATGGCTGTTGGCGAGCAGTGTTTATCACTGAAGATGACCCCACTTGGTCATAGAGTGCATTTTTGGTATATCTCTCGCTCCAGCAAATTTCAGGATCCTCACCCAACGATTACGTGAGATACAGGGGTGTTTCCATTGGAAATGGGTCACACTGTACATAAAGAAATACATTGAAAATTCGCATTCTCCATGTGATAAAAATATTGATTCTTTCTCGGTTTATTCAACTGAAAATAACTACTTTCCTGGCTATATGCCACGTCGAATATTGAATTACATCTATTGAACACACACGATAAGAATTGGAAAACAAAATCTTCTGAAGTAGAGAATTTGCATTCTCCTTCAAATAACAAGTTTTCATCGTTCAAGTTTGAACCCCTTGATTGGGTGAAAGTATTGAAAAGGAATATCACATGTATGGAGATGAAATTATTGACTATACTTGAAACAAAGTTAACATTTTTTTAAAGGTTATCGTACCCCATTATGAATGGCGAAGTAACAAGGAACCAAAAGTTTTTAGTAGGTTTTTATAGTAGGTATGGTGGATTTGACAGTGTGATTCAAGGTGCTCCTACTATAGTCATCAGACCACTGAAAGATGAATTTTTTCCGCTGGTTTTATGTTTTATTAGATTTTATAATGAGTAAATATTATTACAATATAACAACCCATAAAAGACGGGTGAAAGGAATTTTACAGTATTATTCGATTTATCATAGATGAGGCCTCTAGAGGGGTCTATATTAAATTCAAGAATTCAGATATTTTATGAAAATATGATGTTCTTTGTGATAGAACAGTATCAATAAAAATTTAAATTGGTGAACTTAGTAACTTTTCAACTGATTACTCATAGCTATCACACTTGAATGTGTCCATATGTTATTTTCTGGTGCCCCAAAAATACTTCAAATAAAAACTTAATCTTAGTTAAATAGGAAAAGCTTATCCATAAAATTAACATAAGTAAACATGACTGAAAATAAGGACATATCATGACTCACATTTCCCAAGAACTTGTAAATATTAGATTTTTAGTGATGTCATTCAAACTATATTTGTTTAGGAATTTGAAGTTGCAGTTTGTTATAAATAATAATAATCGACTGTATTCACCAATATAAAATAAAATACTAGAATGGTAGTCGGTTCTTCAAAATTACGTTTCTATTAAGATGACATTACCTACTTGTAATGGAAATTTACAGTGTAGTGTACACCATTTGTTATACAGTACTTGGGAACATGATTTGAAATGGAAGATAGAAGGAATAGTTCATCGATTTTTAATGGTTCCAAGTTCCTAGGGGATTCAAATTCACTTTATAAAAAACTTCAACACTCAAGATTAATCACTAACATTTGAACCTTATCACTTTTGACAGGTGGAACACGGAAATATTGATGAAATAAACCTCTTATGTGAGCACTTCAATCCTTTCCTGTTTCACAATTCCTTGATTTTCGCCCACTTCGATAAACAACATAGCGAGATTTTTCAACTTTAGAATTTTTTTCGGAACTACTCATTATTGGTCCAAACGGCTACTATCTACTGACATTTAATTGAAACATTTAAAGGGTGGTTCAAGATTCAAGAATTCTGATCATCCAGTATCTGTCCCAATTAAGAAGATTCAGTAGATAGTGAATTGAAAGTTGAGATAGGGACATGTAAGCCGTTTCGACCAATAATGAATAGTTTCGACAACAAAAAATTTCAAAGTTGAATAATCTCGATTTTGTACACCCTATATCTCTGTCATTGTCGTTCTAGATGACAACCTAGTTAGGTAGTTAGTAGGCAGGAGCTATAATATTGTCTGTTCATTGAAAAGACAATTGAAGAAAATATGTAGTTCAGAGACATCTACGTGAACTAAGTAAACTAAGTTATTCATATTTTATTCCTAACCCATAACATTTTTCATGTTCCTGTCAAGTTTGTAAATAAAAATCTGTCATGTTGAAACCCGAAAATGAAACATTATCACGAAAGATATTATCAAGTATGAAAACCATCTACCTATACTAATAGTTCCAGTCAACCAGAAACTAATAAGCTGATTGCTACAAAGAGTTTGTATAGGAAGGAACTTGTTAAACATCATTTTATTTATATATACCTTCCTTTAACAAACTTGGAACCGAACCCTCCTTCCAAAACCGTTTTCAATTCTTCATTAGCAAGAAACAGTTTCCTTAAAATGTTGGAAACATACAGTATCATGTTCGATCACTTCAAAAACTCCCATTCCTGAAATATCAATGCATCAAGTTTCAAATATTATGCGATTCAAGAAAAAAATGTCACCTTGCAATCCAATGAATATGGCATAAACTCATTGATGCCTCAGGATTTGTGGCTCAAATTCACAACAGTGAGGATAGGGGAAACCAGGTCTTGATAATTTTACACCTCCACCTCCTGGAGTGCGAAGTTTTCAGATAACATTGCAAAATAACACAATCGCACTCACAAACCAATCAACAAACTGCAATAGAAAACCAATACTAGAAGAAATAATTAGGAACAATTGTAATTTTCAAGAATACGAATTCAAAGTATAACATATTCACAAAGACGAAGTTATAAGTTAATGACAACTGTCAGAAAATAATTTTTTGATTATGACATCTCAATCTCATGAAAGAATCTTCTTCATCGCCTTTGTATCAAATATCACGTCAATGGTGGAAAGCACATCTGTGGTTGAGTACATATTGGAAAAAAATAGAAGAAGAGAATATCAACCTAATATGGTCTATTTTGACATAAACAAATGAGCTCTTTCCATTTTCTCATCCCCAGCGCCACTTGACAGACAGACATATTTTGATTGAATGAACAGACAATATTATACCTCCTCGCACTAGGTCGCCTACTAGGTTTTCATTTAGATCGACAATGTCTCTGTAACCATTTCCGCTAGACCCAAAGTATGATGCATTGATAAAATCTGCCTTCAAGGGAGAATCTAAAAATGCAATGAAATACAGGGTGTCCCATCTGAAAAAAATCGACTAGAACCCTGTGTATAGATCGTTTGTTCTGAGCACCCTGTATTTTCTGATGTAGCAGTAAAAAAATCTGAAGAATCATTTCGGATGATTTCCAAAATTTTGAAATCGTTTAAAAAATAAGTGAGTTAGAGGGAGGGACATTTATGGTGAATCATTCTGTATTTTTCGTCGAACCCTCGCATCCTAACGCCTTCTCGTTCCAGAGCAACTACATAAAAACCTCCAAGTACTCCCTTCTGACGTTCCTGCCCTTGAATCTGTTCGAGCAGTTCCAGCGCCTGGCCAACTTCTATTTCCTCTGTCTGCTGGTGCTGCAGCTGATCCCTGCCATCAGCAGTTTGACGCCTGTGACGACAGCGTTGCCGCTCATGGGCGTGCTGGGATTGACCGCCATCAAAGACGCCTACGATGATATCGTGAGTGGACCGCTGAATTATTATGAATAACCGCTGAAATATGATACCGCCGCGGCGGTTAGATACTGACACATAAAAAACCGCCGCGACGGTTGGATACTGAGCGCGTAAGAAATGGGCCGTTATACCTACCTACCCAAATTTCGCTGTATTACGATTTCGCGGTAATTCCTTGGACTGGTAAAGGGCGATATACTAATATTGGTGTCTGAAAAATTCGAAACAATATTTCTACAATGTAAGTCACAACATAAAGTTTTGGAGAATTTAGCAGAAATTAAAATCAATACCCTTCTCAATTATTCCGAGAATCAATGTTGCAGTTGTGGATCTTTGATTTAATCAGCAGAACATTCTCTAAAACCATTTCAAATATTCTGATGAACAATTATTGCAAAATAAAAAAAAAATTAAAAAAGAAAAATCACTAAACTTTCAGGATGAGATATAGTTCAGATTTCAATTTTCAGTTTGTGATTAAGATGATGTTTATATATTATTTGTTATTAGTGTATTTCATTTTGTAATATCTATCAATTTTATTTATTTTGTTATGTTGAACATTTTTACAGTTTATTTTGTTTGGTTTTGTTAGTGTATAAGGATTCAACGTTTTTTTTTTCATTTTTTGCTTATTCATTCATATATCGTTGTTCTGGGTATTTTGTTATTCAAGTCCTTATATTCATTTTTATATATCTCATTGTTGAGATACATATTTTTTCAATTAATTTTGTTAGATTGTGTTCATATGAACTCCACATATATTGTTCTTTTTAATTTTGATAGTTTGCAAATATATTCAAATCAAATTTTTTTCATGAATTTGACGTTATCATTCAAATATATACTCTTCAGCAGAAAATAATTGATACCGAATAGGCGTTTCTGTGTAATAACACACCCGAGTGATAGGATTTCTAACGTCATAAAAGTGCGTCCTGATCTTCTTTAGAGATAAACGCTGCTAAAGCCCTTTGAGATAAAGTGGGCAATCAAATTTCCTACAAAAAAGTCAGTGATAGCATATATCCATAGTTGATAGGATTAGCATGGGAGGCGTTCGAACTTTTTGAACTATTCTGTAATGAACACCTGAATCATCGTTCTACTTGAATTGAAATATCGGTTTGTTGTTGACCCTTGGGAAAAAAACTCAGTCAATCTAGATACTATGCAAAATCTTTTCATAGTTGAATCATTTCTGTAAATAGAATATTGGAATTTTGGTAGCTGTTGGAAAAAGGACAATTCTGAATGGCGTCAATTAATTTTGATATGCCATATTTCTGAAATTAATGATCGTAAATCAGTGAAATTTGATTCATCTTCTGGAAAATTCTTTTCTGTACATGTTTGACCTCTTGATATTTTTCGCTAACTGTGACCGTTTTCCCGAGGTAAATCAATGAAACGGGAGAGACAATTTCCACTGCCTGGATTTTGTCTCTACTAGTGTGACGTCACGAAAGCGATGCTCCGGCCCGGTGAGATAGAGTAGGCCCTGGTTACAACATACATAAGAGAATACTAAATGAAAGTGAACATGCGCAAAAAATAATCCCAGAACGGTTCACGCATGAGAGCAGGTACTGGTTTCGGATAGTTCTAGGACCGTCCCAGGACCATTCTGAAAAACCCGAACGCATAAAGAGTCTGTCCTAGAACAGTTCCACAAATCCCGAAAGCGACCGATTTTACTGCGCGAACTTCTAATTGTTCGAACCCTAATGGACCTACAGTGTTTTTCTTCAATGTACCCCCTGGAGTAATACTGATTTCATCTAATATTTCCGCGTATTCGCGAAAAGGATCAACTAGAACTAAAAATATTAATGAATAAATTTCAAAAATTATCTTGTGTAAAGTATTTTTTACTCACCCTGTGTATTTCAAATGATGTGAATGATGTATAGAGTATTTTTGTAATCCGAGCGACAACACAATATGATAAGATCGACATAGCCGCAGCCGCATATCAACTTATATAGGTATAAACTTATGATTATGCCAGTCTTATGGTATGCGTGACGCGAGTTTGCCTGTTTACTCCCACCCCAGAAAGTGCCTAACGTAGCCATAGAAGTAATCCCTTCAAAAACTCCACCCTCGTTTGTTTAGCAACGACACATTTCCGACTCGCAAGTGAACAACAGAAAATCTCGGGTCGCCCGCAAAGGGCAGCTCGTCAATGAAAAATGGTCGGCCGTCCAAGTCGGAGACATCATCAGGATGGACAACAATTCCTTCATAGCAGCCGATGTGCTCATCTTGACGTCTAGCGAGCCGAACGGCTTGTGTTACATAGAAACATCAGAACTGGATGGGTGAGTTGTTATTTCCCTTTTTTTTTCAATTTACATAATGAATAAACTGCGACCTAAAGGTTTCATTGTACCCCTTTTTTTTGCTAAACCCGATTATAAGGTTCTACGTAGCTCTAGCAATTCTTCTAGTCTTATATTCCCCAGAAATTTCATGATGTGAGGTGGTTCTTCTAGGTAGAATAGTTCCTTCTCCTCTATTATGTGTGGTCCTAGGTTTCTTGCCCTCGGATGCACATATCGTAAAAGTATGTTGGTAGAGGTATCATCCTCCTGCCCACAACTCCTGCATTCTTCTTCCTCTTCTAAGCCAAGCTTCCTAAGACCCCTCAGGTAGGGTCCCTTGATGCAAACTGACGTATTTGTCATCTAACAGGGTACGGACAGATCCTCGTCTCCTCTCACTCTAAAGTGTTTGTGAAACAGTTATATAGTTCCATCCTTATTCAATTCTGGGGATAAACACTAGATTTTTGACATTTGGTGTTTTTTAGGTCATTGGCGTATCATACGTAATTTCCGTATGGAATTCCTGATTCAACTATACCAAGATATAGATGATCAATCCTCTAGTTTTAGAGTTTACTACTCCAGCATCAATCTTTGCGAGGTAGGGAACATACAAATTGTACTGAAAGCTTAATATATTTCACCAAAAGAGACTGCTCTTAGACTGTATAGCAGGGTTTACTGAATTGACTGAATGAATGCTGAGCCGTAGTTTTCCTATGAGCTGAATGAACTGAGCCTTATGAATGGGAAATGGTGAAAACCTCGATGTGGGTATCTAAACTACTGTACTCATGTCATGTGTGCTGAATATATTTTCGGAAATCCAACTCGGAGAAGAATTTATGGAGTGACTAATATCATACTATGTATAAAATTATTCAATCGTAAAATCTTTTTATTTTCTTGAATTTAATAATAATTATCAACATTCAGAAATCATTTGACACTGTCAATATTTACTTTTCTCAACAATATACACATTTTATTGGGAACGAATGAAGAATATCATTACTTGATTACTATAGTTGACTTGGTAAATGTTGTTTTGCTATGCACAATATTTCTAGAGAATACTCTTTCAGTTAAATATTTACCAGCACAGTTTATTCATTTCATTATCCACTTCTTTTTAGTTCGCCTATTCATAAAAGCGTGATTCTTCAGTTTTTCAAAATACTATTCATTTTATACTCCTTTTCAGCTCGGCAATCTATGTCTTCAGTTTTTTAAACTACTATTCATTTTCTGCTATCTAAGAACGCGTGTTTAATTGATTTTTCACACAACTATTCGTTACAAAGCTCGTTCACCATTCACCTTCCCATTTTGAATAGAATCGGATCATAATTACAAAACTCGTTCGCCATATGAACTTCCTTAAGAAGTAAATACCCTGTACATACTAATTATTAAAATTTTTGATGACTTTCTGTAGCGCCCATGGATGTGACGTGACAGCAATATCAAGGATGCCAGTAGACAAAACTAAAGTCTCTAGATCATTAAAAAAGAATGCAGCTATGATCTGTCCGTACCCTGTTAAGATGACTTTAACGTCAATTTCCATCAAGGGACCCTACCCTCAGGGGCTCACTACTTGTGAGTAAGGGAATGGTGAACCCGAAGTACCCTAGCCGGATATTCACCATACCATGGTATTGGTAGGTTGGATGGTGACAGATGCGCTGCCACCTAATTAGATCTATTGTGCCCCATCTGTTTCTGCTATAACAAGGATTTCTTGTTCATAGCAGCCCCTCGAGATTCCATTCCTTCAGGAATTTGAGGATTTTGAGGGGGTCTAGTTGTGGTATTTCTTCCACAGTCAGCTGGTGTGTTCCCAGTATGTTCAATCTTTCGTGATGTACAGCGTCACACTCCATCAGTATGTGATGGGGTGTTTCTGGTTCTTCCTCACAGAATATGCAGGTGCCGTCCTCCTGTAAGCCTAGCGTCCTCATTAGGTGTTCTTTGAGCCTGCAATACCCCGTTAGAAATACCGTTATTGCTTTGAGACTTCCTTTGCTGAGGTTTGTCAGTGTCTTAGATCTTTCTCGGTTGAAATTTCCAAGGAGATCTTTAGCCTGCCGTAGTCCTGGAAGTCTTCTCTATTGTCTGGCTATCAAGGCTCTTTCCGCCTTTTCAAGTTTCTCACATCGTGAGAACCAAGGGAAATAAGGTAGGAATTGGTGTTCTTCCTGAATATCTGGAGGTTATATGCCTCGGGGAACACCTCCTATGGCAATGTGTTCTAGAGCCTCGCTGTTCGATGGATGAACGGGTCTTTGGGAAGAGATGTTCTGCAGGTCTCCAAAGTGACCACGAACGGGTGCGAAGCTTCAACTCGACGGGTTAATCTCGCGGGGACTGCCAAGGAAGGTACAATTGTTGATATTTCAGAAGAGCATCGTCCACGAAAATATCTATAAAATAGAGCCAGATCTCCAACTTTTCTACGGTGTTCCAGAAAAGTGAGTGAGTTTGTGAGCGAGGCATCACCCAACGAGACGAATTGCTCTTTTTTGGACAGAATCCAACAGTTTCAGGGTATGTTTGGGCGCTGCACTGCTGGAGTTTGAGTTTGTCTAGGCATTCCCAAACCATCTTTGAGTTGATGTTAAATTAGCTCAACGCTTTGATGGCTGCTTGGCTGTCTGAGGAAACACTCTTGCTCCAGTTTCCTCGGGTGTTTAGACCCCTTCGTATACCATATCATGGTATTCTTTCCCAGTGATTGGATGGAATCTATGCTCCTTTTTCTCTTGGTGCATAGTACTATTTGGACATTTTTATCGAAATTGCCCGATCTTTAGATGATCATCTCTACTAAAGACAACAAGCCTTAAATTTCCATTTTCAGTCTTATCATAGCATATGTGATGTAAATCCCTCTATTTTAATGAATTGGTGACTGGTCATATTAAGTAACATCTCATCATATTGTAGTGTTATCATATAAAGTAACATCTTAGCTTTCCAGTTCATCCGAGGTACCGGTTCAAATTCAGTTTCGAGTTTAGTATCTCCCCGATCACCTGGATGCTTGATGATGATGTAGACGCTAAAAACGGTGACAGGAAATAAGAACCCTAGATTCTCTGCTCTATTTCAGTGAAACGAACCTGAAATGCAGGCAATGCATCGTCGAAACGGCCGAGATGGGCCAAGACGACGCCCTCCTCAGCGACTTCGACGGCGAGATCATCTGCGAGATGCCCAACAACCTCCTCAACAAGTTCGAGGGCGTGCTGATGTGGAAGGGCAAGTCCTTCTCGCTCGACAACGACAAAATCATGCTGCGCGGTTGCGTGTTGCGCAACACGCAATGGTGTTACGGCGTGGTCATCTTCGCCGGCAAGGACACCAAGCTGATGCAGAACAGCGGCAAGAGCAAGTTCAAGCGGACGAGCATCGACAGACTGCTGAATTTTTTGATTATAGGGGTGAGCGGAATCAGAAGTGGGATTGTGCCAGATCAGAAGTGGGCTCAATCTACCTGACACTTTTGTTTTGAGGTTTTTGTATGTTTAGCCTACGGACACTCTGACATGCACCAACAGTCAGACATAATAACAAATGGTTATATGGAAAGCGGGAACTGACAGTACACGAAAGTATAGTTGTATTAAAAAATAACGTACAAGTAATACCTAATATTAGAGAGAGAAATTGACGTCAACGTCAAGTTCTTGGGAATGCTTCCATTGGCAAGGAATTCCAAAGCTTCGCTGTTCTATAGACGAACGGGTATTGGTATACTTTTGTTCGACATTTTTCAAGGTTAACGACGAAGGGATGTGCTGACTGGGCCTGTCTAGTTCATCTGACTGGTATTGTTTGTAATGGATTTATAGCAGAGATTTCTGAGGAACATTTCCGTGGAAAGTGAAAAGTGAGAGGTCGCCGACTTCTCTACGGTGTTCTAATGAAATCTTAGAGCATCAGTGTATGTTTGAGTGCTGAACCCCATACATGAGAACAGTATTCTGAAATCAGCCGTATCTGTTCTTTGTAGATCATGAGAAGTTGTTGAGGTGTTGAGTAGATTTTCGCGCGGAACATCAAATAGAACACTCTTGGAAAAATGGAAAGGAAACATGGAGCAGTCATAGTTAAATATTGGTTCAGCCAATAAAAATTCAAATTTCATTGGTAGGTATTGAATTTTTTTGGTAAAATATAGTGTGAATTGTGAATAGATGAATTTCAAACAATAATTCAATCATCGGAAAATTAAAGTTCATAATTTTGTCACAAATAGGGTTATTTTTCATTCATTCATTCAAATTCATACAAGGTTCGAAGTCATTGAACGGTCGCGTCTTTGTTTATTAATTCCAAAATTTTCGAATCGTGAACGAACTCTTTTTTCCATAGTTGAACATAAACACAGGCGTGACATTGACTTCAACGAACCTGGACTATCGACCTGATTTCCTTACTGTCACGTTTCCGAAAATAAAGACAACTATTTAAAAGACGTAAGGAAGCGGGTTCGACAGTTCGACTACCGGTTCGACTGCGAGTTGGACTGCCAGTTCTTATTGTAGCTCTGTTTTTTCAACACGACCACGGGAAGTCTCTTCTTGATGTTGAATCATCTCCGATAAAATGGCTTGTCGGTCCTTAGCCCGAAAATCAGGCGCTTAGGACTCTGACAAGGACGCGTCGCGAATTTACCGTAAGAATGATAAATACGTTTTCATCGGTCGTCTGAAGCTGTGACACTGATGCCCTTCCTCCAGGTCTCAGAAGATAGCATGTACAAGCATAAGGTATGTTTTAAATTGTTATTCATATTCTGATTCTGAATAAATGTGTATATTTGTTGTTTTGGAAATGATTTCACTTTTTTTCCGACTATTCATAAATTGCCAAGGTTCATTCTCTATTGACAAAAAGAACACAGCTTAGGCAACCCCCGCCTACAGTTTGTGACATGGTGGAGGCGCCTCGTGCGATTTCGTGATTAATTCTTCATAATTAATCTTATAATTATACCTCGAGCAAAGCTGAGTTTCCATTTTATGTGTGCCGTAAAGTATGAGAGTCCTGTAGAAAAGTTATGATCTCTAGAGAACGAACAAGATTGATATGTTTCTAAAAGATACACATTTATTCGAAATTTAATAGTTTATATTTATAGGAAATTTGTTATGATAGTACTATTGATTTGCGGTAAATATTTTCAAAACTTTTAATGAACTGCGCAACATATTAGAATATGGCTGAAGGAGGCTTCTGTTGTCATTATTATGGGAGATAAAAATAAACCGGTAACTAGATCAGTAAGATTGAAACTCCTTAGCGATTCGGATAATTTCACCCCGCAACATAGAAGCAGTGAAGTTCAACCATTTACTAAATCGAACGTTATACAAAGGTCACCACCTATAAGCCCTATAGTTCAGGCAAACGTGATTAGAAAACTAGTACCATCTGAGGAACAGTCAAAGCGAAAAGAATCAATAGAGGCTGCTGGCTCTTCGATACAAGCAACTGTAGGGAATCAGAACGAAGAACAATACACAGCCCCGCAACCAAGTCCGAGAAGACCAACAGAAGCAAAAATGGCAGACACTACGATCACCCAGACCTTCAACAATGCAAGAAATCCCGCGCTACCAGGATTCATCTCGCCAATGATATTCGATCCGAGGAAATCAAAAGCAAGCACTTTTTTGGCAGCATATGAAAGAGCAGCGGCAGCTAACGCATGGTCACAGGAACTGAAAATATATTATTTAGGATCTTTTTTAACGGGGGCCGCAGCAGGATGGTATGAAAGCTTCAAGAGGAATCCCGATAACGCAGCAAAAACGTGGAGAGATGTAAGCGAGGAATTGGAAAACGAGTTTGGAGAGGCTGACGTGAAGAGAAATTTGGAAATTCAACTGTTACAGAGGAAACAGAGAGACGGAGAATCAATTTGGACATATTTCATGGACCTAAGAGAATTATTTTATGAGTATGATGCTACTTCGGACCCAAGTGAATTCAGAAAATTCTTTGAGAACGGACTGAGGAGAGATTTGTACACGGCCTACAGACTTTTGAGGGAAGACGAAATGACCATGGAGGACTTCAAAAGGATAGTGGTGAAACTGAAGGACATTTGCGACATGTCGGATGGCAAACTAAGCGGCATTTTCCAACCCGAAGAACCGCAACCACGAACTCAAGTTGCACAAGGCAATAGGCCGCAGTGGCATAGTAACAACTATGTTCGAGCAAACGGGTTTCACGTGAACAACGGTCGATATCACGGAAACTCAGGAACCGTGGTACCAAGATACAGGAATAATTATGGCGGAGGAGAAAGGAGAGGTGACAATGGGCCAAGAAATAGCAGGGACGTCTTCCCAAACACGAGGATGACAGATGGACGGCCGAAATGCTACAACTGCAATAAGCCGGGTCATTTTGCCTCGGCATGTAAAAATACCAATTTCAATAATAGGTACAGGAACCCAAACGACAGCGGACGCCGCAACTAGGCCCCAGCGCCGTCCTGTCATCGACTGGGCCCGAGTATAAGATAGTAACGATAGAAGTAGGGATCGATGGGATCACAACTACTGCCATAGTGGATACTGGATCTGAAAGAAATATTATAAGTAACGAGTTACTGGGCAGAAATATTGCAGACTCCCAAACGAAGTACCTTTTGGCAGTAGGAAATAAAAGAATACGGACTCTAGGTGAAACGAACGTGGAATTGGAACTTGGAATTTTGAAAACAAACTGCCGAGTCATAGTTGTAGAAAAGTTGCCGTACCCCCTCATTCTAGGAATGGAATTCTTGGAAAAACAGGAGGCAATAATTAATATTAGGAATAGATCAATAGTATTTAAACATAAGGGTGTAGAAATAGATATGAATATAAATATAGGAAAGCAACCTCAAGAAAATCAAGCAGCGCAAGTGGGTCTTATATACAGGGAAAAAAGAAAATACATAAGAAAAATTGATTACAAATCAGCCTACGAAGAGGAATGTGTGAAGAATATAAGAATGTTATATGATAAGATTAACGTACCGACTAAATGTGATAAAGGAACTCAGACAGATGAACCTAGCAATGAGGTAGAATTAGAGCTAGAAGAGTCGAAGCAAGCCTGCGAAACTACGGATAACGGAGAAATAGAAAATAAGGAGGTAAAAGTAGTTATAGAGCAAGACGAATTATTAAAACCAGAAGAAGAAAAAGAAATTGAGTTATTGTCGGACAGGACCTTCCACGAAAATCAACAATTTGTGTTAAACGAATATTTCTTCGTTACGCGTGGACTGATATGTACGAGATTACCAATCCAGAATAAGATTAAAATACTGAATAAGAAGCCATACAGCGTCAAACTCCTGAAAGGTTCAACAGTCGGATGGTACCAAGATATACAGGGTGTCCCTGTTACAGAGGAAATACTTATCATGTGCACAACAGAGGACAACGATATGGTAACTATGCAGGATCATAAAATCGACCATATTGAAGATGAGGATTTCAAAGAAAAACTGAAAATCTTGTTAGATGAATATTCAGACGTTTTTTCCAAGGCTACGAGATATATGGGGAGGACAAATTTGACGAAACACAAAATAGATGTAGGCGATGCGGCACCATTGAAATCACGGCCATACAGGGTGGCACAAAAAGAAAGAGACATAATTGACCAACAGATTGGGGAAATGCTCGATAATAACATAATTAGGCCTTGCCATTCTCCATGGTCCAGCCCAGTAGTGTTAGTCAAGAAAAAAGACGGTTCGATACGATTTTGCGTGGATTACAGAAAACTCAATAGTGTAACGAAAAAATCCAACTACCCATTACCAAACATTGACGATATACTGACATACATGGGCGGAGCAAAATATTTTTCAACATTGGATATGTTCAGTGGATATTGGCAGGTAGAAATAGAGGAGGATTCTAAACAATACACAGCATTTACAGCACAAGGACATGGATTATACGAATTCAACATGCTTCCATTCGGATTGTGTAATGCCCCTATGACGTTTTCTCATCTAGCGGACCAAGTATTCGAAGGAATGAAGTGGAAAGACGTACTCATCTATCTCGATGATATTATACTTTTCTCCAAAACTCTGGACGAACATATCGAGAAGCTGGAGAAAGTATTCCAGAGATTGCGAAATGCCGGGCTGACACTTAAACCAAGCAAATGTGATTACGTGAGGAAGAGTGCCAAAATTCTGGGTCACATAGTGAGCGAAGAAGGAATCGCGCCGGAAGAAAACCTACTGATATCTATCAAAAATTTCAAGACACCAAGAACTATCAAACAGATCCAGAGCTTCGTAGGACTCTGTAACTTCTATAGGAAGTTCATTAAGGATTTCGCAAAAATAGCCAAACCTCTACATCAGGCAACGAAAAAGGAAACAGGGTTCTTTTGGGGTGAAGAGCAGCAAGTC